CGCCACGGCAGCCGGGTGCAGAGGAGGCGGCGACGGCGGCCTCCTTGTTCGGTACTGAAGTCACCGCAGAAACAATCTCAACTTCTCTATGAATTTGATCTATTAGGCGATCCCGAAGATTAAATTGGTCCAACTTTCCTGATACTGTCAATTTATCGTTCGCCTTATTGATCATCACTTTCTCCACTCCTAAAATCCAAAATATTGTTAAGAAAATGATACACTGATCAGAATTCTGCAGGTTTTATCTATGGATCTGTTTGGTAAAAAAATTTTACATATATTGCATGCAAATTTGTATATGTACTTAGATATCTAACAACTAAATTTGCATATTTACCCTTGGCATTTTGGTGTCATAGACATTCGGAGCAAAATGTGTGTTTCGTTATGATGTTAAAATTTTGATTGTTAAATGCATAAAAATATGAATATTTATCAGAGATGTAAATATATAAGAATTGTGTGGTTTACATCTAAATGCCATAACGAAAATATGATAGAGATGGTCTAAGAGGACCTTGATTTCATTATTATTATTATTATTATTTGAAATGTTTAACATAAAATTAAAATATAGTAAGAATTTTTAATTAAATTTTGATTTTTTGATTTGTTCTGTAAAATAATTTAAATTAAATCTGAAAACCAAATGTTAAGATTTTAAAAATAAAAAATCAAATTATTTTTTTGAAATCAACTAAATTTGAACCGTTTCATTCTAGTTTTCTATCCCAAAAGACCCCTAAATTGTTGAATTTGATGCTTATTGCTGCCATAGCAACTAATTAAATACCTTTAAATTTTTTGACGCATTCCTTGATCTTCAATGCGCATGCATCGCAGTGCATATCAACTTTAAGAACAACTACGAGCGGCGCCACCCCTTCTTCCTACTCAATCAAATTCGCATTTAATCAGTAATAAATAGAACAGATTAATGAAATTAAAATAAAATTAATTTGAAATCTAATTAGATGCGAATTTACTCATCTTTTTCCACTTCTTTCATCTCTGATGCTTTTGTTCTGCTTGTTATTGAAGGAAGTGAAGAGATATATAGTCGGGACACACTGTGGGTGGATTTGATTATTAATTTATCTGATATTACGTATGGAATAATTGGCAGTGTAATAATTGATGAGGGTTTTAGTTGTTTTCATGTAAAGCTCCCTTTTTAGAATTTCGGGGACATGCACTCCTTTTTTAGAATTTCGGGGATAAGCATGTGGTGCAATAATTGTGGATAAGCGGCTACAGCATATCCTCTAACTTGATTTGTAAGCTATCCTTGTAGATCTCTTCCTGTTTATCATTAAGAACTTTAATGCTTTCAGCAATCTCATAAAGACGTGGAACGCTTGCCAAGTAAGAGGATAAGAGGAAGAAGCCCAAACATACCGCTAATTTTTTGGATGAGGGTGGTCGGCCAGCTGGCGAAAGAGCAGGGCCTTCGACCATGCAGCGATGGATAATATCGTCAGCATCAAAAGCGAAGTCTTTGAGCTTGGCTACCCAGTGTTTGCTCTTCAAGCTGTAGCCGCTCCCTCCGCCGCATCTGGGAACTTCTGGATCCATTTCATTGGCTGCTGCAGCTTTGGACCATGGCAACTATCTTTATTTGCTCTCTTTGAAGAAGAAGAGGAGGAGAGTAATGAAAGGCAAGAAAAGTCAAACAAAGTCTCTATCTGCATTTATTAAAAAAAGGCAAAGGAAAGCCGAAAATAGGTCTCCTATCGTACATGCCGCAGAACCCTTATTTTGTTGATGATAAATTTCTTTAATCAAATTTTCGGAAGGCCAAGGGGAGATTAAAGCCGCCTGCTCCAAGATCCCTGGAACAATTTAAGATACGGCTCAATTAACAGACTGGCCCATTTGACCAAAGGCATATGCTTGCCCCGACACATGGCTATTCGCGGGGGGCGGGGGGGCCCACATGCAAGCACAAAGATAGTACTCTGAGGCAACATTTACTTATGGCGGTTTTAATACTTATTGTCAAATTAAATTTTATTTATGCAATTTTGATATTACATTTACTTATAGATGTTCTTGAATAAAGAGTCACTTTTACGATCCTAATCATAAAACTATAAAATGTTGAGGATTAGAATAAAATTAAAAAAAAATAGTTTTTTTTAATTAAATATATTATAAATAAAAATATATGAATATATAAAAAATTAAATTTAAATGTTTGATGTTCAAATCTGACGTTTTTTTAAAAAAATTATACTTTTTTTAGAAATAAAATATTTCTTCTATAAAATTTTTATTTGAGTTGTGTAAATCGGTCCACTTCTCAAAGTTTTGGTCATCTTAGGCATAGCAGTTTCTCTTTCGTGACATTTGATTAATAGTTGAATAATTAAGCTTTCTTATTTATGAAAATTAATTAATCTTAATTCCTTACAGTTTTTCTTCCCTGTTATAGCTTTGCCAAATTAATCTCCAGCTTCTTTAGCCTTGGTAAGTCCGCCACCATTAAATGCTTGTGGAGAAAATTAAGGCTTTGCAGAAGAAATTTGACTTCAATAATTTCTTGATGGGCTTTTACAAGAGTGAAGATGCAAAAGTAAATTAAAAGCTTAATTTCCTTGGGATTCTTCCCCTCCGTGCTGCGGGAGAAGAAAAGGAGAAACAACTGTTATTCTTTTTGAACTCCCCGTTCCTTCAGCTGTAGTTCTCTCGGTAAAAAGAGATTAAAAAAAAAAAAAGGAAGAGAAAGGAAGAAAAAGTAGGAGCTTTTTTTAATTGTACGGGCGTAACCTCAGTTAATAAAATTCTCTGATACGCCGATAATTTATCCAATCACATAAATTTATGTGTTCAAACGGATCAAGTGAGGGATTTTAGGGCCACCGTCTGCATTATCAAAAAACATTTTTTGTGCGTACGCCGGATATAATTTTACGTGCGGCGCAGTGTATTTTTGAGTTATTTTCATATTATTTTTAATAACTCAGAAATAACCCGCAGTCTTTATTTTTGGATTATTTTTAGGGCTATTTCGGGATTAATTATTGAAAATAGCCCAAAAATAACCTGAAAATAACTCTGCACCACACGTAGAGGTACGTCAGGTGTCCGAATAAAAAATGCGCGCCAAGATTACACCTCATTTCTTTTTCAAAAGATGCAAATAAAAATGTCATAATGTCAAATTTTATTGTCATATTCAATCTTTCTAGAGAAAAAAAAGCTAGAAAAACCCATATATTCATTTTTTAAAGTTATAATAATTTTGAGCTAATTGAATTACTTTAAATTTTGATTAGATTTTTTTTAAAATTTATTTTTAATTTGCGTTTGAAAATTAAAGAGTTTATAAATATTGAAAGAAAATTATGCGCTTGCACAGATAGATTGATGAGGTATAAAAGTATAAGGTTGCTCTTAAATGTAATTTAAATGCACGTTTATATAGAATAGCAGTTGTCGAGATGAGAATGATTTGGTGGATGAGTGGCTTTATACTTAGAGACAAAATGTGAAATGAATATATTCGTGATAGGGTTGGTGTAGCTCCAATAACGGATAAAATTAGAGAGTGACTACTTAGTGGTTTGGTCATACGAAAATAATTGATTATACCTTCTCAAGTAAGAAATGTGCGAGGTACATCAACGAAAGAGCTGTAGTCTAGCCCACGAGAGACATGAACACACAACTAATGTCTGAAAACAAAATCACCCGATCAAAAATGGAAATAAAAATTAATTCCCAACAGAGTCACCAAAATTTGTCTGTTGTCTTTCAAACTTTGTCGGTTGCTTTAATTTGCATATATATAATCTTTTAATTTTAAAATATTGTTTTAATTTTGAAAAATGAAACCAATTATATCTCAAATATTTAGTAGTTTAAATAATCGAACAAAACACCACAAGTAATACATCATTCCGAGATATAGACATACCATTTGACAGTGGGCTCCATTATATAAAATAAATAATTTATGACATTCATTTAGTCTGCGAAATTTGTGATTGACAATTCCTCAATCTAATATAAATATTAGATAGAGTTTATTTTATATAGAATCCTAATTCCCTATAAGGACAATTTTATATAATTAATTATATCATAAATGACTGAAGTCGCTTAATAAAACTCTCAATTAAAATCAGGGGTATCGTCTTTAAAATTTCAAAGTTTAGTATTCATGATTGAATATAAGAAAATCAAATAGGAAAAACTCAATGTAAAACAATTATTTCAGGAATCCAATTAAGCGAAAAGTATGAGATGTCGAATATACTGAGAAAACCTCAGTGACATCTCAAACTATCATATAATTTGACATTATATCTTTGAGATGAAGTTATTTGTTGTTCTGATTCTATAATTTATTTATAAAATTGGGACATACTCGTGTGATAAACGATCATGCATATCGCACGAGAAAATAGGAGGATTTACGTCGTATCAGACGAATAAACTTGGAATCCTAAAAGTGTTTTAAGTTTATATCGCATGACATGTGATCGTATATAAGCTTAAAAGATAGCTTTAGGATTTAAGTTGCGTCTGGCGAACAACTTTAGAGTCTTATGAGTTCGTGTTGTTTAAAACTACTGAAAGTTTAGTTGAGTATCGTCCTTCGCTTTGTTGTTTTACCTTGATCATCGCCTGGAATATTCCTCTCCTTTTACTTCCCAGAAAGCTTGCCCTAAAATCTTTTCTATGATGTTTTAGGCTTCAGGGTTTATGTTTATACTTTATGATTGTTGTTGGATCTCAAAACTTGTTGCAGTGTTCCTCCTAGACAAGTGTCATATTGTTCTCTACCCTAGGGATCTTTGTAGTTATTATAAATAACAAAATAGTAACATTGCATGTATAAATAAAATATATATATAGTAAGGCACAATAAGAAAGAAAGTGTCTTAAAAGAAATAAGAAAAGTGGTAGTTTGTACCCATCGCCTGTGATGTTGCTGCAAAAAAGTTAGTACCATAAATATAGTATAACAAGGTGCAA